AAAAATAATAATCAAAGGTAAATAATAAGGATCGAAAGATAAATTTAAATTTACACTTACAATTTTCGTTCAAGAAGATAACTGAAAATTAATTTTAGCCTGACTCACTTACATGTCCCCAGCGGAGACACCAAGCTATTGTAACCGTCCTTCGGGTAGGCCCAGAATCGGGTTTCGACTTAAATTTGATGTGATGGAGCCACCACCGATCATTTAAAATTAGGTTGATCATATACCTGAATTTACCATTTTACCTTATCTGCATTTTTACCAAAATTGAATCAGATTCGGGAGTCGATTATAGGCAGGGAATGATTAGCACCCCTATACTGCCCTTTCAGTACTAATTTAATTTTTCGATTGTCTTAATTGCGAAAATTAAAAGTTAAATTAAATTTTAAAAGTTTGACCCGAATTACTTACCTTTGATGAAGTTAAAATTGCCCTATAAATAGTCAAATTAATGTTAAATAAAACAAAATAAAAAAGGGTATTAAATTAATAAAAACAATCATTAAAGAAGTATTAAATTGGGAAGAATTTAAAATTGATGTTAAATGAAAGTTGCAAAGGAAAAAAATGAAGTTAGGAGGTCAATTTGTAAAATATAAGAAATATAAACAAGGACTAAATTGAATTAATTCAAAATTTAAGGGTAAATTTACAATAGGTGACCAAAACAAACTACACATCAAACCTTCATGGATTGGGGAAATAATTTAACTATTTCATAATTGCACAATGTCCCTCCCTATAAATAGCCCTTAAAACCCAAAATATCATTCATTTTCAAACACTTCTCAAAATCAAAACCCTCTCACTTCTCTCTAAACTCTCAACTTGCCTACCTTAAAAGCTACCTCAACGAGCCCCCAACCTGCATATGGAGCCCCACCGCCCGGACTGTCGCTCCGGCCACCGTCACCGATAGTCGAAAAACCTTAAGCCTACCTCAAAAGCTTCCTCTCCACTCCCCGAACCCAAAACTGAAGCCCAACTACCCGAAATACACCCCAAACAGAGTATATCTAACAAAAAAGGTTTCGAATTTACCTTTTCCGGTGAGATTTCCAATGAATGTTGCCTTATCCGAGCCTAAATCGACGTTCGCCTCGCCCCCTTTGGATTTATTTTGCTATTTCTGAATGTTATTTGCTTGCTTTTTGTGTTTTGGCTATATGGTTGCTTTCGGTTTCTCTTGGTAGAATATTATTTGGGTTTGTGGTTGTTTTGTGGCTTTGATTTACTTGGTTTGGTGCTTCGATACTTTTTTGGTTGTGTTTCTTGTATGTTGTTGTTGTGCCCAACCGGGGCTTTTATAGCGTTGTGGTTAGCTGTTGTGGTCTCGAATATCTCGTGGTGTTGATCGATCTTTCGATACATCGTTGTTGTTTTAATTTCACGTTCAAGGGTCGAGAAATCCGGTCGGTTCTCAAACTGCTCGGGCGCGTGGCCTCCATGCGTGCTCCCTGTGCGGCGCCCTTACTTGATATCGAATCCTAATTATTTTTTGGATGGGTCAAGCCCCCTAACCGGGCTGGCTTGTTGGGTAAGGCCTGCTGGCTCGGCTGGGCTGCACTTTGGACTAAATTGGATATGTTAAAAAATAAAATTAAACAAATAAATAATAATAATAATAATAATAATAATAATAATAATAATAATATAACCTAATATAATAAATAATAATATAAATAATAATAAAAACTATATATCATATATATTATATTTTCAGAAACTATATAATATGTTTTCAAAAATTATATATATTATATATGTTTTCAAAAATCGTTTTAAAAACCATATATATATATTCAAAACTATATTATATACGTTTTTAAAAACCGTTTTTTAACTATATATTATATGTTTTCAAAAATATTTTCAAAACCATATATTATACGTTTTCAAAAATATTTTTAAAACCATATTATATACGTTTTCAAAATCATATTATATATTTTCAAAAATATTTTCAAAACCATATTATATATGTTTTCAAAAGTATGTTAAAATCTATATTATATGATTATGTATACTAAATAAATCCCGAATGAAAATGAGTGACTACAATAATTATACTGTTAAATTATAATTTATCATATCTTGTATATATCATCATCAGATAAAGCACTAAATTATATGAGTGGGTTGTAGTAAGCACTAAGCCGTGACAATTAATATTATGAACCTTCAATTTGACCAACCCATTTCAAGGTTTGTTGGAGAAGGTTGTTATATTTGGATTGGGCCTCAAAACTTTAATCAGATGTTTTACAACTTGGTCTGATATGGGTTGCATTTTTTGGGTATTTAATCCCCGATTTTTAAGAGGCGGATCATGACGGCTACTTAATTAAAAACTTTTAAATTTTATAATTCTACAGGTAAAGGAAAAGTATTGAATCACGTGAAATAGTGTATTCAACATAAATATTTTCATATTTTTTTAAAAAAACATAAGTATTTTTACCTTAAAAAGAATCATTCTGCTTTGCCTTTTTTCAGTCGCATTGTTTGGAAAAAGATGGTCATGCTCCTCCATGTAGAAATGATTACATGCGGTAGTCTTATTATACGATAAAAAAAGTGTTATCGATTTTATTATTATTTAAATAATAAAATTAGTAAAAAATTAACGAAAATATTATTATTTTTATCGATTTTATTATTATTAGGTGTTTTATCAGATTTAATAAAATGCTACTGATTTTATTATTTTTTTATAATAATTTTGTTATTATTAGACACTTTTACCGAAAATATTAAAAATTTAATGTTTTAAATAAAAATAATAATTTTTAAAGTGATTTTTTTATCAAATTTATTATTTAAATAATAACAAAACTAAAAACATCTTATTTTACCTAGAAGGTATCGAACTGTAGAAATTTCAGCTTGCGTGGGTCATTCATCATTAAAGTATATGGCAGCGTTGCCCCCACACAAACGCGTTATGTTCACCAACCCACACTTGATTTTCTAAACACCACCCGTCGCTTTCCTTAAAGTCTAATATACAAGTCGAAATTAAATTTGCTATTTGCTTTTAAATAGGATTTCTTTGAAATTATTATTATTTTTTATTAAACTGAATTAATTAAAATATAGTATCTACTCTAACTAATTTTAGTTATTTTACAATGAACAATCACTCTATTACAGTTATTGATGTTCGGATCTGTAATATCTAAAAATAATAATTATTTAATTACTATTGAAATAAATTAGTCGGTACTTTCTTTGAAATTACTGGACAACTTATTCCAAGAGTCTTTGATAACTCATAATATTTTATTAGTTTGTACAACGGCCAGAATATTTTCTTTAAGTTTGGAGATATAGAATTTGCTTATTTATCAAGCTATTTAATTAAATTAAATTTTAATATTTTTAGTTAATTTTATTTAAATCTTAAAATTATTATTATCTAGCCGCTAAAGCAAGGATTGATTAAAAATTCACTAATGCTCCATTAAGTATTAAGATTGTTAGTATATTGCCATTAGAACAAGGTTTGGTTAAAAATTCACTCATGCTTCATTAAGCAGATCCTTTAATGGGGTTGGTAATTTGAAATAAACATTAAAAACAATATAAAAAATATAATTTCTAGAAGCCTGCTTAATCACTATACTATATAAATCATTAAGTGGAGGACATGAGAACAGCCCAGCAAACACTCCATTACAGTAGGGTCTTCCTGAAATTCCCACCGCAGAATCATGGCTAGACTTTTCATCTTATTCCTCTTCACCATTTCAATTGCTTCAGCTTTAGCAGATGACGAGAGCTTCGTGCGAGCCGTGGACAGGAAGCTTTTGGGGCTTAACAAGAAGGAAAAGCTCAGCCACTTCAAGCTTTACTGGCACGACATCGTGGGAGGGCGAAACCCAACGGCGGTTCCCGTGGTTATGCCGTCGAAGAACTCGTCGACGGCTTTCGGGATGATCAGCGTGATAGACGACCCTTTAACGATGGGACCTGAGATGAGCTCGAAAATGGTGGGGAGAGCACAGGGGTTTTACTCCGCGGCGTCTCAGCAGGAAGTTGGGCTGTTGATGGCCATGAATTTCGCTTTCACGGAAGGCAAATACAATGGGAGCACCATAACGATACTGGGGAGGAACACCGTGTTCTCCAAAGTGAGGGAGATGCCGGTGATCGGAGGGAGTGGACTTTTCCGTTTTGCTAGAGGCTATGTTCAGGTTAAAACCCATCGTTTTGATCCGGCAACCGGGGATGCTGTTGTTGAGTATAATTGTTATGTCATGCATTACTGATTAGCCTCCTTTCTCTTTTTCTTTCCCGAGTTTTGGCTTTGTTTTAAATCGTCAGCTTAAATCCTGTTTTTTTTATGGTATAATTCCTTTCTTAGTTTGTTCTACTTGTTCAGAATTTAATGTTATTGCTTAAAATACCCAACCTGGAGACTTGTGCAACATAATGAATCTTTGAATGGTGTTGATAAAGCCTTGTGTAATGGGTGAGAACGGTTATAGTATCGTTCTGAAGAACGGAAAAACAACGTAAAGAGAACAAGATCGAAGAGAGAACAGCTAGGAACTTCATTCATTTCATAATCATCAATCTCTCAATTATGAAGAGATGTATTTATACAATTGACTAGAACAACCCAAGAAACTTAACTGCTCATAACCATCTTAATTAACACTCAACAGCCTAACTAACACATGAAAGATTGGTTAAAACCAACCCAGCTCCAGCTCATACACCAACATTCCCCCTACTTTACAACTGACTTTCCTCATGCCCTTAAACACAAACAAGACACGCAAGAGCATGCACCAACATTCCCCCTACAACAAACTCTCCTATCACTAAGAACGCCATAAACTCACTCACCACATTCCTCAAGGTGAAACCACAAATTTGCCTTGAATTTGTGAGACAAGCAATCGTTGCCTATGTTTAAGAAACGCTGGAGCAGACAGCGACTTGGTTAGAATATCAGCAACTTGTTCAAAGGCAGGTACCTCCTAAACCGATAGCTTGCCGACAGCTACCATTTCCCTAACAAAAAATAGGTCAAGTTCAACATGTTTGAACTTGGAATGCAAGATTGGATTTGCACAGACAGCTACAACACTGGAATTATCACACCACAAGACATGTTTCCCATGAACGGACACCCGCAACTCACCCAGCAATGATTCAAGCCATATCATCTCCACAGCAGCACAGACAACACTCTGATATTCAGCCTCTGCCGTAGACCGAGCGACTACCTGCTGTTTACGAGAGCTCCAGGAAACCAAATTGTCACCAAAGTAGATACAATAACCCGAGGTCGATCGTCTGTCTGCATCTGACCCCCAGTTTGCATTAGCAAAGCCTGTTAAAGACAACCGTGATGAAGCTGAAAAACGAAGACCAAAATCAACAATAGCTTGCAGATACCTCAGTATTCGTTTCACTGCCTGAAGATGAACATCACATGGTGCTTGCATGAACTGACAGACCTTATTCACAACAAAGGCAATGTCTGGTCGCGTGATAACGATGTAATGCAAAGCACCAACAATACTCCTATAATGAGTTGCATCCTCAACTGGTATTCCAGTGTCAACCGTCAACTTGCAATTAGTGACCATTGGTGTAGGAAGACCCTTAACATCTTCCAGCCCACTTTTAAACAATAAATCACGTATATACTTTTGCTGACTCAAGATAATCTCATCAGCTTCTCGACACACTTTGATTCCCATAAAAAACTCAAGACTCCAAGGTCCTTTAGTGCAAACTGCTTGTTAAGGCCATCATCATCTACATACACTAGTAGATACATGATGTTGTTAGTAGTTTCCCTAACAAACAATGAAACATCAGATTTTGCTAACACAAAATTCTGAGTCACTAAAAACGCCTTTAGCCTCTCAAACCACGCTCGAGGCGCTTGCTTTAGCCCATAAATGGCTTTGTTAAGCTTGTAAACCAAACTTCCATCACCTTCTTCATAGCCAGGTGGTTGTGCTATATATACCTCCTCAGTTAGAACTCCATTGAGGAATGCGTTATTTATATCGACTTGCCTTAACTACCATCCCTTAGCCAGTGCAAGTGAAAGCACGACCTAAATTGTTGATGGCTTGACCACAGGACTGAAGACATCATGGTAATTGATACCTGGCTGTTGCAAAAAACCCTTAGCTACAAGTCGAGCCTTGTACCTTGCTATGGATCCATCCGCATTTCGTTTGATTTTGAAAATCCACTTACAGTTCACTGCTTTTCTTCCACTCGGGAGAGGAACAAGCGTCCAGGTGTTGTTCTTCACCAGTGCATCAAACTCCGTTTGAGCAGCAACTCTCCACTCAGGACTCCTCATGGCTTCTCGAATGGTCATCGGTTCTTTATCTAATCAAGCCACCTGTAATACTTTGGGCTTCCAAATCCCATTTTTGCTTTGAGTCACCATGGGATGAACATTGGACTGTTCAACATCAGCCTGAGATTCTACACATGTGACAGAATTGGGAATTGACTCATTTATAACAGCATCATTATCATCATTCAAAGCGGTTGGAACACATAACTCATGTACAGCATTAGTCGTCTCTTAACCACAAGCCATAACAGGCACTACTGAACCATTACATGCACACACATTCTCCTCAATGTCTGTTGCATGTGACGTGCCAGGCAGGCGCAAGTCAGAGTCACGATTATGGCTATGTACTGGATTAGGCACAACCTCCACACACCTTCTAGGTTGAACATTGTGTAACTCTTTAAAAGATTGTACTACAGATAGAAAATTAGTCGAGGTGACAATGCCACAATTTGATCGACCTTCTCCTTTCTTACCCGCATAAGGAAAAACCCCTTCATCAAACACAACATGTATGAAAATGAATACTCTCCCACTATCATCTAAACATTTGTATCCTTTATATAAAGGACTATAACCAAGAAACGTGCATCGTTTGGACATGAAATCCAACTTATGTTGGTTGAATGGCCTTAGAAGGGGAAAACAAGCACACCCAAAAATCCTGAGCATGGAATAATCAGGAGTCTGCTTATAGAGAACCTCAAAAGGAGATTTTCCACCTAACACTTCAGTTGGTAAGCGGTTTATTAAATAAATGGCTGAAACAAATGCATGACTCTAGAAATTTAAGGGGAGTTCAGCCTCAGCTAGCAGTGCTAATCCTATTTCAACGACATGCCTGTGTTTCCTTTCGGCTTTCCCGTTTTGTTCAAACGTACTTGGATAGGAAATCCGTTGTTGTACACCATTAGCAAGGAACCAACCTTTGAGACCTTGATACTCTCCTCCTCCATCAGTCTGAACAACTTTGATTTTAAAACTAAACTGAACTTCTACCATCTTGTAGAAATTTAAGAAGCATTGCATAACTTCATATTTCCTTGTTAGTAGATAGACCCAAGTGTGCCTATTGTACACATCTATGAATGATACATAATACGAATAACCATCAGTAGAAATAATAGGTGCTGGACCCCAATCATCTAAAACAATCAATTGAATGGTTCCTTGTATTCATTGATGGAATTAAAAAACGACAATTTATGAGCCTTGCTTTGTAAACATGCTGTACATACATGAGACAACTTATTTTCACTAAAGCTGATATTACAAGTCTTCATTACTGCTCGAACAACATCAATCGAAGAGTGGCCGAGGCGTTTGTGCCACAAGTCTATTGAACTCGACGCTTTAGACACATTGTTCAACTGCCAGCTCGAGTCCTTCATAGTGCGTGGCAACAACTGATACAACCCATCATGCGTGAGCCTCCCTTTCAACAGGATCTCCTGAGTCTGTGTGTCCTTCACAAAGCAGTCAAAAGGGTGAAACTCGATAAAAACTTTCTTGTCACGAGTGAATTGTGACACATATAGAAGATTGTTCTTTATGTTTGGCACATGAAGCATATTTTGTAGCAACAAAGGCTTCGGATTACTCAACAGACAAGATTGTCCTATATGTGCGATCTTAATACCTTCTCCATTACCCATAAGTAGAGTATTATTACCTGTGTAAATCGTACCAGAGTTGAAGACAGACAAATCATTGGTAACATGATGTGTAGCTCTTGTATCTGGGTACCAGACAACATCAGTAGGTTTGGTCGAGGCATTGACTGAAGGAACTGTGGAAACAAAGGCAGCTGGTGAAGATGATATCGAGGAACCAAAAGGATTCTTTCCAGTAGTAGAGCCAAACGATGAATCACTCAAGGCTACATTCATATGGGGCATTGACACTGGATACACAACCTGAGGAGTGAATAAGTAACCATTTTGGTAGTATGGCACTGAACCAAACGATTGCATGCCAGGAAAGACTGAGTTAACAACTGAATGACAGAGGAACATAGGAGTCTGGGTTAAACCAAAATTCACCAAATGATTATACGCTTGCATGCTAACAGCAGATTGTTGTTTATCACCCGAGAAAGCACGCGATTGTCTCCATCCTTCAGTGGTCGATGCAGTAGAATCAGACACCCCAGAATAGTATCGATCAAACCTATGATAACACTTCTGTACAGTGTGGCCAAACTTTCCACACAGTTGACATTGAGGTTGATTAAAACCATTGAAACGACCACAACCTCTTCCTCGGAAATTGTCACTTTGTTGAAATCTTTCCGAATTCGGCTGTGACTGAGGTACAGAACTATTAGTGGACTTTAACTCACATTTATCACTTGAACTAACTTCTATATTAACTGAAGCACTTTCATACAAGAAAAGCTTATGTCGAGCTTCACAGTCAAGGAACATCTCAGTTATGACATCCAATGACAAAGAATCACGAGAGACTATAGCGATTACAGACTCAAATTCCATGGATAAACCAACCAAAAGAACACTAACATGTTCTTGTTCAGTCACTAAGCTTCCTGCTGCATTTAACATATCACAAATAGAATTAACTTTTACCAGATATTCACTTACTGTTAAGCCAATCTTCCTTTGCGAGTGAAGGTTATGTCTGAGGGCTGATATCTTTGCACTAGACCTTGCACCAAAGAGACGTGAGATAACACTCCAAATAGAAAGAGTTGTCGTGAGACCAGTGAGATGAGGAAGAACTTCTGTACTCATAGTGGTTAGGAGCCAAGATGCCAAGAGTTTTTCTTTTTGCCTATATACCATAAAGGTTGGGTTCTCTTCTTCTTACTCTGAATCATTCGTGACAAACTCACTAGGAGAAGAAGTGTCAGTAGACACATATCTCAACAGACCGTATCCATCAATGATCAACATCACTTGATGCTTCCACAGGAGGTAACTGCTTTTAGATAATTTTACAATGTCATGCTTAGGAATGTGTTGAACATTCAAACTAACCGGAGAGGATGCCATGGAAACCAGTTAAGAAAACACACCAATCAAGAAACCAAGAATGATCTTTGTACCTGACCTTCAAGACGCACAACCACCTTCAGCACCTAACTGTCACGGCGAAGGAAATGACTTCAAGCATCGTGAAAAGGGGCGAAACACAGTAAGCAGCGAACAGTGAAGAAAAGACTTCAGGATTTGGCAACTGATACCATGTTATAGTATCGTTTTGAAGAACGGTAAACAACGTAAAGAGAACAAGATCGAAGAGAGAACATCTAGGAAATAAAACTTTATTCATTTCATAATTATCAATCTCTCAATTATGAAGAGATGTATTTATACAATTGACTAGAACAACCCAAGAAACTTAACTGCTCATAACCATCTTAACTAACACTCAACAACCTAACTAACACGTGAAAGATTGGTTAAAACCAACCCAGCTCCAGCTCATACACCAACAAGAACAACCCATATTCATACATTGAACATAACTTCCTATAAAGTCATCGCCTTGAGTCGAGGCAAGAACGCAACACATTTAACATTTGTAATTGTGCTAAATCCTGTTTGAGATTGTTTTCCAGATCGATAATTTTTTTGTGTTACGTTAAAGTAAAGGTGTATTACGTGAGAGGTGTATTTGAAAGCGCGTCCTATAGATTATAGGTCTTTTGTTTACATAAGAATAAGGGATGGAGTTAAGGTTAAACTACAAGGGATAAGTTGTTTAACTTTAAAATGAATAGGATTTTTAAAACTGAATAAACCATATAATTTAAAGAAGTTATTGTTTAATTTCACTAATTTTAAAATTGAAAGGTCTTAAAGAGTAACAATAAACCAAAAAATAGAATTTAAAATTTTATTTTAAAACTAAAAGGGTCCTAAAATATAGTCAAACTAATAAATTTGGGAGGAGAATGACTAAATTATAATGATTTCAAAAATATTGAAGACCTAAAATCAATTAAACCATCAAAGTGGGGGCACCTCCCCCATAGCTTCGTCCATGATGACAATAAGCTACAATATAGTTACAAAAGTTTGGACTAAAAAAAGGGAAAAAAAAGATAAAATATATGAAAATATACAAATTTTATCTAAAAAGAATAAATGCATGTGATGTATATCGGAGACACATATTTGCATGAGTCGAGGTAAACGATGACAACAACAATGCGTATATACTTGTTAAAAGCCTATATTGAGGTACTTGAATAAATACATATCTAAATAATGTGATATTTGAACAATTCATGATCAAACA